GAGGGAGGGGGCGCCCATCTCTCTCTTTCTCCGGGGGATGATAACGTAGAGCCTCGCCGGCTCGCGCCGCGCGCGAGATCGACTCGTCGGCCGGAGGACCGGGGAAGCGTTTCAGGACGACGGCACGGAGGAAACACGCTCCGCGATCGCCGCTTATTGATTTCCGCAGCAGGGGAGACGCCGCGCTGCCGCTGCCGCCGCCGCCGCCGCCGCCGCTGCCGCCGCCGCCGCTGCCGCCGCCGCCGTCGCGTTTCCACATTTCGCGTTCCCGTCACGCGAAATTTCGGCCGCACCGCTCCGCTCGTCGCCGCGTCGCGGCGTTTCGCGTCGCGGACCCTGCGATCGATTCGCGCGCGTCTGCCCCCCCCCCTCCCCCGTCGTCGCACCTGCGTGCACCTACTCTCCTTCGCTGTCTTCCTCATCCTCTACGTTTCTCTCTCTTTCCCCCGTTCCCCCGTCTCTCAATCATCCTCGATCAGTAGCCGTAGCTCGCTTCCGTGTCAAATGTGCCGAAGACGGTTTTAGTTACCGCTGACAGGATAACGTCAGGATGTGTCGTTGTCGCGTGACTGCGCACGGCGTCGCGATATGAGAGGCAGAAGACGATCCAGGTATGAGATAACAAGCATTTGAAGCATGAAGCTGTAAGTGGAAGCGATCAAGTAGAAGCGGGGTATATGAGGAAATGGTAAACGGCGAGAGAGAGAGAGAGAGAGAGAGAGATGTGTGTGCGAGGGAAAAGCGCGGAGAGTACAGCGTATAAAGAGCCAGAAGCCGATTAAGGTCTGAAGGAATTGCGATTTACGAGAGGGTGGCAATCGAAGCGGAAAGCGATCGAGAGACGTAAGAAGGAAGGCGGTCGATAGGCCCAGTGAGAAAGGGGGGACCGTCTGATAAACTTGGCTCTTCCTCCGCGGCCGCACGGGACACTCCACGTCGCGGTCCTCGCCGACACCGCGCTGTCTGGGATTCCGAGCGCGCGGATGGAATGTTTGTTGCTCAGGACGGAGGGACTCGCCGAGCGGCGGGTACACGGTTCGATTAATCGATTAGCGGTGATAACAATTTGAGTTTGGCCATTCGCTCGGCCTGGAAACGCGAAGCAACAAGAGACGAATGCTCGGCACTCTGGTAATACGGCAAATCGATCGGGATTCCTACGCGCATCGCTTCCCGCGGGTCCGACGGGCCTCGCGAAATATCGCGTTAATTCCCTTTTCTCCGCTAAATAAAATCTAATTGCGAAACGCATCGCGAGCGCGCTTAATTATTTCGCACGGTAGAGCGATAATTGGACATTTTTTGTGCCACCGGTGAAGTAAATAATTAAATTAACCAAGTTGGATTAAACGATATCTCGCGGTGTAATATTTTTCTGGTTAAACGTGACGTGTCTTACGGAGAGATTTATCCGCGAAACTGATTTTCAAAGTGGCGAAGGTTCGCATAAAACTGCAATGTTACGATAAGTATAAATGTCATTGCTTTCAACGGTTATTGTGGAAAATGATAGTGTACATTTTTCCACAGTTGCATTTCCGTCGAGACTTGAGTTTATTTTTCAACGATTTTATCATTATGGTATATCAATCGTGGTAATTGTCCTGAAAACAGACTAAATTGTGATCAAAATCCATTTTCCCCAAGTACAATCGACGTTTTTCTGGCAAATGTTGAATTATTAATTTGGCAGAACCGGGTCAGTAAATTCGAAAAAATGTCATAGTATCGAATGTTTCTTTGCCACTTTTGAAGCGTTTCATTTTAAAAATTGAAAATACGATCTACTGCTGGAATAAAAAAAAACGCCAAATAATGGCCGCAATTGGAGAAAGAGAGAGAGAGAGAGAGTCTTTATCGATACGATTACCTTTAACTCGGATTAGTTTAATTCTCTTTCTCTATTTATATCGCAGATGTGATAATAATATAGGATAATACGGGGATATTATTTATTTAGCCCACAAAGAGAATCCGTTTATTATTCATTTCAACTTTGACTTGATCCAATTGATGTAATCTGAAACGATCGCTATTTCCCTCTCGTGCGCGCGTCCCCTGAATTTACTCCCGACGAGAACCATGAGAATTCAACAGTGAGCACAAACTTCTGGCGTTTTGGGAGAAAGTCCGTTTGTATCGGTCGATAGGCGACTAAAGCAGGATGAAGTGGCTACGTGCGAAGCACGATCGATGGGCGCGGAGGCTTGAGATATTTCAGCGGCGAGTTTCGATGCGCGATAAAAGTATCTATCTCGAAGACACATCGGCGAAGTCAAGGCGAGAGAGAGAGAGAGAGAGAGAGAGAGTGAGAGAGGGAGGGAGGGATAGAAGGAGAGGAAAAGAAAAAGAGAGAAAGCCGCGCGCGGCTGACGCGGCGACGACGAAGAGTGGCCACCCTTTGAAATTCACGAGCGCACGGAGAGCACGTACTCTCTCCTTCTCTCTCTCTCTCTCTGCTTCTCCCTCTCCCCCTCTCCCTTTCTCTACAGCAGGACTCCTCTTTTTCTTGGTTTTTTTCTCCTTCTTCTTCTCCGCGTGAACGGACGTGTGGAGATCCGATCGATCGATCGAAGCGAGCCGCGCACTCGAGTTTTCCCTGACCTAAGAATACACCGGCTCGAGTGCCGTGGAGGAACCCGGGGTGGAGTGGACTCCAGAATGGACCAGAGTGGGGATCGAACGAGAAGAGAACCCCGCCCCCGTTTAAGCGACGCCGGACAACGATGACTGCGGATTTTGTCTCTTCTTTCTTGCCCGCGTTTGCTCCAACTTACGCCTCCGCTCCGTACTCTTCTCTGTCGCTCGCGTTCCGCGAGAGTACCGCGAGGAGCAAGAAAGAAAGACAGAGGGAGAGAGAGAGAGAGAGGGGGGGAAGAAAAATAGATCTTTTTTGTCCTTTGCTGAAGACAACGGATGACCAATCTGGCCTGTAATGTAACGGCACGCCGATACGCGAGAATTCACACGAGCGGGGGTCGCCCGCGAGCGGATGTTATCGTGCCGCGCGATAACGCTCTCGTGCGGAACGAGCGTCGTAGATGCAAATTCGACGTCGATGTTCGTCGGCGTCGGAGTCGTCGCGTTGCGTGACCCCGAGCGATTAGATTAGAACCCGACGACGGCGGGTTCGCGGATTTTCCTCTCTCTCTCTCTCCCTTTCTCTCTCTCTCTCTCTCTCCCTTTTTTTTCTCTTTTCGGAGAGGGGCGGCGCGGTTGACGGATCAATTACGTTATCGTGAGATCGTCAAGTTTCTCTCCCTCGAAAGTTACCGGGCTCGTCGGAGTCTCTCGTGGGTGGTTCAGGCCGTTGAAGTTACCCGAGAGGGCGAAAGTCGCGACCTCCGCGGGCCTCGGAGAGGCACGTGAGAGGGTGCGCGACACGCGAGCCACTTTCGAGCCCAGCCCGTGAATCAACTGGTTCTCCTTCTCTCCGTGTCGCAGAAACGAGCCGAATGATGTCCAATTGACGAAGACGGCGCAGCGCTAGGAATGGCCCCCTTCAGTTCCGTCTTCCTGGGTGTCTGGGGAGTGTTTGTCGTCATTTTGATAAAAGGTCTGTATGTCCAGCGTTGCTGCACGGAAAAAAGAATGACGTTGTATCAACGAGATCAGTGTAGTTGACACAAAATCGTTGATACGACAGCAGTATTAAGGGGTCATTCCACTTAACGGCCGAAAAGCTATGCTTATCTTTAGCAATTTCTTTCACAGTAAATACACCATACAGCGAAAGAAATCTTTTTGGGATTTACTAGGGCGCTCTTAAATAACGCAAAAAAATTATTGTCACAATTTAAACAATTTTTTAATTAAACGTTTACTACACCGTTCGAATGGCGTGTCGAAAAAGATGCGAGTCCGCTGACATGAGTGTCGCTGTGTCCCGAACCTAAATTAAGAATTTTTATCTAAAAATAACAAAACGGTGCCCTTTGAAAGTACTTTTCAAAAAAATTTTTTCAAACTCGCACCGTTTTGTTATTTTTTAATAAAAATTCTTAATTGAGGTTCGGGACATAGCGACACTCATATAGATTAAGAATCGGTTTGAGTTTTTGTTTCCCGTAAGCCTGAATGATAAAAGTCATCAACGCAGCGGACTTGCGTCTTTTTTGACACGCCATTCGAACGGTGTAGAAAACGCTTAATGACAAAATTGTTTAAATTATGACAAACATTTTTTTACGTTATTTGAGAGTGTCCTAATAAATCCTAAAGAGACTTATTTCATTGTATGGTGTATTTACTGTGAAAAAAATTGTTGAAAATAAGCACAGCTTTTGGGACGTTAAAGCGGAATGATCCCTTAATAAATGAAAAACATCAGATTGTTGTCTTAATAATCTGGATATTTAGTTCAATGCTGAAAATTAAAATCCATAGCAAATACAATTGAGTGAATTATTTATGTCTGTGGCAGCTCGTGACGTTAACGTTTAATTCAAGCGACTTCATTTTCAATATCTTTCAATACGCGATATCTCATCTCAAAATCAAGAAAATTCTCGGCATTCTCACGACGTCATGCTATAATATATACAGGTACCATATTTATTCTTAACACCTGCCGTAAAAATATCTCCCTTTTTTTATCTTAAACAATATTGCATTAAAGTAAAATAACTGCGTTCGATTTATGAGATGTGTAATTTAATATCTGACATCGTATCGTATTTATAACAGTTAATGCTGCTATTATTTTCGTACAAGAAGGATTGAAAACTCGTCGCTCCACGAAATTGGATCATTTCGATGAATATCGCGCCATTAGAAACGACTATGAAGTCCGACATATTTACCTAATGCGATTCGATTTGCACAAAGAGTCCTTTGCCCCTCCTCGGCACGAGACAATGCATTTACGCAGTTCCCATAAAGTTATGCTGAATTATCGGGTTTCGCACAGAGATATTATATCGCTCGTTAATAACGAAACATTTGCAGAATCGACACCCGTTAGCTGGGAGGAATGGTGGACGTACGACGGTATCTCCGGTAAGCCATCGGTCGTTTTTAAAACCGACGTCGATAGCGTTTCCCATTGTCAACACAAAAAATGTCTCGTTCGCAAAGGTCCTGCCTTCTGGGGTCTCATCAACCCGGAATGGTGGCTCTGTAACAAAGGTCGAAGACAATCACCAGTCAATCTCGAGCCTACTCAACTGCTTTTCGACCCGAATTTACAACCGCTCCACATGGACAAGCACCGAATCAACGGCGTGCTGGCGAACACCGGCCACAGCGTCGTGTTCGCCGTGGAGAACGACACCCGCCATCCCGTCAACATCTCCGGCGGTCCGCTCAGTTATCGTTATCAGTTTCACGAGATTCATTTGCACTTCGGCGCGGACGATCGCATCGGCAGCGAGCACACCGTCGACGGACACGCATTCCCCGCCGAGGTACGAAACGACGGGGCGACAGACCCAAGGCAAATATTTAAAGAGCGCCGACAGTTCCCTCGCGAGCTTTTCAGTTCCAGCTTCAAAGCTTGTTTTGTGAAAATCAGGAATTTAATCCAAATTACATTCTCGTTGATGCGTTAAGTAAAGGGATAGCGCTGTTTTGTCGGGAGGACAGGGAGGTTCTTTAATCTTAAGTCTCTAAATAGCGTTCAAAGCCTTTTGTTCTCTCGGCAGCTTCAGATATTCGGCTTCAACTCGCAGCTCTACAACAACTTCTCGGACGCCCTGCACAGGGCGCAGGGGATCGTGGCGGTGTCGCTTCTCTTGCAGGTACATGCCCAATCTCTCCCGTAGACGCTTGTCGCGCGTCGAATAAAGATCGGAATAAGCGATACGTCATAGGCCGTCTCGATCCTTTTCCAGGTGGGCGACCTCTCGAACCCGGAGCTGAGGACGTTCACGCAGCAGCTGGATAAAATCAAATACGGAGGTGAGAGATTCAATAATGAATTCCGAGCTATATAGCGGCACCACGCGGGGGAGAAGGATCGTCCAGTTTTAGCTGACAAATTTTAGCCGCGCGAGTTAAAAATTCTCAGAGGGTGTCCATACATAGTTCGAGATTAGCATATCGAACGACCTAATGCTGGATTACCTCATGTATTTCTGTCGTGACGGCGCGGCGGCCGAATATTTATAAAATACCGCGTCTTGCGCAGCGCGGTGCCGAATGCACCTCATTCAAATAGCATTTTAACGCGACGCATTAACAATTTCCTTTCCAGCAAATTAACAATTAATACAGGACGGAAATACATGTGCGTACACGTGTGCGAGTTTCTTACTCTTTTCTTCTTTTCTTTTTTTATTCAACAAATTTATGTCCCGAGATAAAAATATAATTCGAATGAAAAAGTTGCAAGATTGATGTACCTTCGAAAGTTTGATGGCGGCATGCGTTATAACTTTCTAAAAACTTGGCACGGGAGGAGGAGGGGGGGAGGATATTGTCGTCAAGTTTTTCGAAAGAAGATAAATCGATAATTACCGTCATTCTTTAAGGGAGCGCAAGTTCCTTGACGTATGCAAATACGATCGAGCGGCGTGCGAGCGATAACTTTTAGCGATACGTAACAATATACGTATCAGCTGTGTGTACCGCGGCGTCGGGCGGCAATCGGGCGGTAACACGCGTGCACGGTGCACGTGTATGCATACGTGTACGTGAACGAAGTTGACGTTATCGATCGTATGAATTGCACAGGGCAGGCCATGGAAATTAAACGTTTCGGGGTGCGCGAACTTCTGCCGGACACGAAGCATTACATGACGTACGACGGCTCCACCACGATGCCGGCGTGTCACGAGACCACCACATGGATCATCCTCAACAAGCCTATATACATCACCAAGCAGCAGGCAAGTATCGCCGCTGCCGGCTCTTATAAAATGCATGCACACGCCCCCGCGCTCGAGGCGTTCGCGCGCGCGACGCCAAGTGCAGCGGCCTCCCCCACTCAATTATGCAATTCCGATCATTAGTAGGGACAGAGTCTTTGAAACATCGAGGAACGCCGGCCGTGCCTCGCGCGAGTAGTAGCTAAAGTAAGTTGCGAAATAAGGGTGGAAATGAGGCACTTACTAAGCTCGTATCTTGGAGCAATGCTATCATAAATCACGCTCGACGGGTTTTACGGGAATCTGTCTGGGGGAAAAAAAAGGAAAGCTGCGTTTTATATTTCGCCCGTTTGTTCTTTCAAGCGTAAAATTAAAGGGGAGACATTTTAATTTTAAAAATAATGAATGAATTATTTATAGCGTAACAATTATAAAAATGTTTAAAATATAGTAATCTCGTTTTAACGCATAAAACATGTATATTGGCGAGTACATAATTAATTCCACGAGTCGCTGCTTAGTTTCCCCCGGAGTTAATAAAGTAGCTGACCTTTATTAACCGAATTGAGTTTCATTGAGGAACCTCATAAAAAATAGCCTCGCGTAGTAAACGGCAAATATTTGCTTTCGATGTATAACTTAAACAATCTCACATATAATAATATTTGTGATAATCGATCACATATTTAAATTAGCCGTCCCATCGGAATTGCAAATGATGTTATTATTGATGTCGATCGCATTTAGCGAGGCAATAAAATCACTTGTACCTCATACCGCGTTATTTAATGACGAATGTTGATTCGGATTAAGGGTGATTTTCATTTTATCTTCTACGCATAATATTTATGCAACGGTCAGGCTTGCCACCCCCACGGAAAAATATGTATTTCAAAAAGTAGGTGAAAATATATGGTAATATATTTCATATATTTGGCATAGAAAAATTCTATTTAAAAAATCGTATATAATATTATGTCTGTTAAAAACCTACTAAAAATGTATGTGAAATATATGAACAATATTTAAATTACAGTTTTATAATTTCGCAATAACACTCTTCGCTGCTGCGAGGCGGTAATCGCGCGTTACACTTTCTCGTATTTAAAAATCAGTCAACAGCAGTATACAAGAAGTGGTGAGAAATCAGATCTAACAGTTGTGGCAAATGAAATCAATTTGATCTCCGCTGGTAGAGCGTTGAGAAACTAATTTTCATGATACTTAGAACACCTAACGTAATATTCCTTTTAATATTTTTATATAAAATATATGATAAAATATAAAGAGTATACAATGCATACATTAGATGTATATAATTATGTACACAGCTATGTATTATAATGTACGTATATCATACATTTTATTATATATTTTTAATACATATGAATGATATATGAAAAATTTATTGGTATTACATTTATAGTAGTAGCATATATTTCTTATAACGCATATACGAGTGATATAAAACGAATGTATCCTTTCTACTTTTCTTTATACAGGGTGTCTCATTTTCAATGATCCACGCAAATATCTCTTCGGGGACTGGGGTTAGCAAAAAATGACTTGAGCAAAAGATGTTGGGTTTCTGAAAATTTTTGTGTATGGCACAATACACAAAAATGTTCAATAAGTGGAACACGATTGCAACAGCATATTCCTGAGACTAAATCAAGTAAAAAGAAATACTTATCGAGATATCATAAGTTAAACATTGAAAAAGTTATAAGTGTTCTCTTGAATATCTCAGAAAGTATTAGACAAATAAAAAATGGTTCAGACAAAAGTTGTTCACATCAATTAGTAGAATAAGATAGTATAATAAACAATAGGGGGTTCCATTTAAAAAGTTGAAGATGACTTTCACGTGACCTTGAAGCAACGATTCAAGGTCGAATTAATGACACCATCTTATGTCCCCCTCGAAACCCAACACCTTTTGCTCAAGTCATTTTTGCTAACCCCCTTTCCCGAAGAGATATTTGCGTGGATCATTTAAAATGAGACACCCTGTATATAATGAAATATATATTTTTCCGTGAGGGCAGTGATCATAAATACGAAAAGAAACAACCACGCGTCGTTACGCACAGTTCTTTCGTGTAAATAAAATTGTATTTTATTTATCTCCAAATATTACACCACTCCTCTGTTTAATTTAAATTATTTTACAGTATTCCTTGCTTACACTCCAAACGCACTGGCAGAAAAACGACAAAAATATTAAACTCCGCATTATTTATATTACATTTTATGTAATTCCTGTTTTCATAATTTTTGCAGCTGCACGCTTTGAGACAGTTAATGCAAGGGGACGAAAAGCAGCCAAACGCACCACTTGCGAACAATTTTAGACCACCGCAACCCCTTCATCATCGTCCTGTGCGGACGAACATTGATTTCAATGTTCAGGTGCGTCATAAATAGCACAATCCGTATCTCCTCCGTGACGTGAATAAATGCGCTAATTTTTATACCGTGTGTTTAGGGTCCGAAGAATTGTCCAACAATGAACAGGGACATATATTACAAAGGTATGAAAGCAAATCAATTACACGCTCTTAGACAGACTTAAAATAGAGTCGATGTGCACCTTTTAAAAATTGTCCACAATTTTCTTCTTCGTTTTTAAGTTGTGAGACTCTTCACTGGATTATCGCTATACATTTTTTTTTTGGCCTAGGAGCTGTCGCAACTTATAAGCAACTATAAGCAAGCACACTACTTCTCTGATTGCTTTAAAAATCATTTTATTGTCTGCCTTTTTAGCCAATAGCTGGAAATAATACCCAGCACTGCCGTGAGATCGACATTCGCAGTAACTACGCTTCTCCCCGGAACGAGCTGGAACTACGCTGTAAGGAAAAAATTGACATATCAATTACAGGCGGGTGACGCCGGGTCACAAAAAAAATTACGGCAGATAGATCGCGAAGAGGACGACCGACGATGCCCACGTGTTAAGGTCGAGATTTAAAAAAAATGCTTCGTTGTACTTATTAGACGTGAATTGCCAAGTATGTTTCCAGTTAAATCAGAAGAAGAAAAACCAAATATACCTATAGATTACAAGTTAGACGAGATAAGCTAATCGTAAGATCTATTATTATATATATATATATATATAAATATCGGTAAACTATCGAAAAAAGCTAAGACTATCGTGGCCTGCGCGAGGGGTTGAGAGATGCAATTATATGTATAAAAATTCACGCGCAACGGAGAGCGCTATCGCGAGCAAAAGTTTATACTATATTCTTGTAATAAAAGCTTGAAAAAATGCAGAGAACGAGACGTTTACCGGCGCCTTTGCTTGATTTTTCCTCCGTTCACCAATTAGCCGTCTCATCCTGTGAGGAAATCGATTCTTTCTATCCCCGTCGCAAAATCTGTTGTCTAAATGACAGCTATCGATCGACCTGGCACTGTTTTGTAATAAAAGCTCGGAAGCGCAGGCCGAGTCGCACTTTGATGAGTTCCTGCAGTATCTCTAATTAGCGTCCATTTCCTATTCTGTCATCGATTCTCCTTACTCTCCTCGTGAATTTTGTTACCTAAACAATAGCTGTCTAATCGTCTATCTTCGATCAATATCTTCGATACTGTAACTTGGGCGCTATTCGCAAAGTGATGCTACTGATAGGCCAGGCCGAAGTTAAAGTTCGCAGAGATCCGAACTGGGGTATCGTGAGTGCGCCTAGTCGATAACGCAGAATCCGCGGGCAGAACCCGGTTAATCCCAGCTCGACGTTCAAACGTGGCCTCAACATCGCGGCGGTCCGAAGGGAAAATCGATCTCTCTTGAACGAAGTAGCTGCGCCTGCACCAGCCAGAGACCATTATCAGTTTCCAGCGGATTCCGCGCTGTCGCGCTTCCGTCGCCCCGTGTCCTTGTTCCGACCGATCCGCCGAGGTACGCGAAGTGATCTCGGCGGAATCCTTGGCCTCGCGAGAGACCGAGGCGTACCGAAAGAAGGGTCTCAAAGAATGTTGAAGGGCCAAGTGGGAAGGGAATTGAATATAGGAGAGGGAGGATAATACTATCATCGAACCGCTACCCAGAATTCGATGGTGCTGCCCGCAAACAGTTATGCGACTAGGGAACCGGAAAGGGTGAACGGCACACAACGGGGGTGTACTGAGGGAGCAAGAGGAAAAGCGAGCGCGCGCGCGCGCGAGAGAGAGAGAGAGAGAGAGAGGGGGGGGGGACGGAAAGTGGGAAGGTTCGTGGAGGGGAAAAGGGTAAACGCGGGGGTGGAGGGCGGAGGGCGCGGAGGAGAGGGCGCCGCGTGCGCGAGAGAGGGACGGGTACGCGGATACAGATCCGTCGTGTCGGTGGCCGCTGCGGCAAATCTGCGGCTCTCCGCGGCCGATCGTCGAAAGACGCAGGGGAAGAGAAGTGACCGGGAGCGTGGAGTCGAGGGGCACCCGGCCTGGATTTGGGTGCCGGCGCGTTTCTCGCGACCGTCCGATCGGTGTGTGGAGTGTCTCTCACCCCAGGACCGTTCCCTCCGGAGGCCGAGGGATGAGGGGCTCCGATGATGGAACGATCTCCGCGCGATCTCACCCTCGTCACGTCCCCCGCGCAGTCCGGCGGAGATCGAGTCTGACCAGAGCGACTTGTGCGGGTTGCATCCCGTTGCCGCCGAGGCTCCGCCGGTACGGAGATTAATTGATCGGCGAGTAGAGGAGAGCGTTGGAGGACATCGATGTCAGTCGACGACCTCATGGCGCAGGTGGGGGGTGTCCTCCCGTGAGAGCGAATACGGGGAAGTTCACGGCGGAGGTGAGGATACGCGTGGCGAGTGCGTGCGAGCGACGTCGGGACGCATCGCCATTTGTTAACGTGGGAGGAAAGAAACGGCGGAGCGCGTTCGCGCTCTCCTCCGTCTCGCCCGCGGGAGTTCCGACGCCGCGAAACAATCGCGTCCCCGGCCGCGCGAGGATCGTCGCTCGCTGCCGATCGATCCCTCCTCGGTGGGCGATCGAGCGGGGCTCGTGCGAGGAACAGAGCCGCTGGACCGAGAGGCGGAAAGCCGCGGGAAGAACGACTGCGCGACATGAAGTCGGAATTCCGAGGGTGTGAGACACAGTGTACGCTCGTCTTTAAGGTCGGCGGGAGGCTGTAAGCGGTCCCGTGATTGGTTAAACGCGTCCGCGGGAATCTTTTTCGCCCTGTTACATGCGCTAATTCGCGTTCACGAGGGCGAGTTTACATGTTTGAGGCAAACTGATGAGGGCCTGCGGTTGATGGCCGACCGACGTCGCGTTCGCCAGGTCAGCCGAAGATCGGCCAACGCCGGGGGAGGAAGGGGGCCAGAGGGTCGTCGAGGGGGGGGAGGGCCGAGGGGGATCCCGGTTGATCGGCCAAGTTCGCCGATCGCGAACGGGCCGCGTCGCGGCGACGTTGACGGGCTGGATGGACTCTGGTAAACTGAAACTACCCGCCACTGCCCGCCGCCAATTCGACGGGAAACTTTCGCCCAACTCAATTACGCCACGGTCGTGTCATATTCCGCGCCTGCCTGCGGAAGCCAGCGGAAAGGCGACACCGACCTACTCTTCGCCGCGGCTCGGCGGGCTCGTGTTCCACGAAAGAGCTAATCGCGATACCGCGGGCGCTTCTTCGCGATTAATTTATGATAAGTGTAGTAAAGCCGCCTGGTGTGGATTACGACGCGCGCCGACGAGGTGGAGAGCGGGGCGCGGAGGACGGGGAGAGGGGGGGGGGAGGGGGCTATTAGTAGCACCGTTAGCGGATTCAGCAATTAATATGGCGAGACAGGCATATTCCGTCGGTGATTAATATGCTGACCGCATAGAGGTAGCGCCGAGGCGGGATTTTAAATTCATATCGGTCGCATAATCGATAGTTTGTTACGCGCGCTCTCTTTCTGATTTCGACCCCACTTGTGTGAGCCGCATATTAAATAAACAGCTTCGTGCGATCGTCGCGTCGCGGGTGAGACCGAGCGGGAGACTCGTCCCGGATTACTTCCCGCGCGAGAGTAAGTATTCCACTGACGCCGCGGCGATAACGTTGAAAATATCATTTACACAAGGCTTCGTAATCTCCTTCCAGATTAAGTCGCGGCGGCGGTTATAAAGGAGAGCGGCTGGCTGCGGCTTAAGATTCGCCCGCGCGCGCGCGCTTATGGCGCTCACTTAATCAGGATGAGATCTGAGAAGTCGCTGACAATGCTGCTGGTGCGACGGAACCCGGAGAACTGGTTTGCGAAATAAATACTCCCGAGGGAAACAATGGAAGCGTCCACGCGAGCATGACGGCCTCATTCGGTGTCGCGGACGGCACGCTTAGACGGCCAGAAACGAGACCCTCGAGTAAGACCGAGAAACTTGCCGCCCACAATTCCGTCTTCACCCTTTTCTTCCGTTTACCTTGTTCGAGGCTCGCGCGACTTTCCCACGCATACCCATCGCGTCATCCGTTCTCAGCTTATTTCTACAACGGACGCAAAACGCAAAGAGGCTAAGCCGCGACGCAAAAAATCGGCCAGTGACAGTCTTGCGTTTTGCGCCTGGCGTCTTGCGTTTTGCGTCCGTTGTAGAAGAAGCTTTACGCAAGATGCTAAGTCGCAACGCAAGAAATCGACCGATCACAGTCAACTATGAGAAGAATGATCGACTGTCATTGGCCGATTTCTTGCGGCTTGCAACTTGCTGCTATTTTAGGACCGGCCTTAAACAGCCACGGACCTTCGCGTAAAGATATATATATAACTCTGGCATATGAAATTCGTCATATTATAGATTCGCTGGAAATCGAAGATCGTGATGAACGATCGTTTCGTATTAGCTCTTTCCCGGCGCGGAAACGATTCTCCTCTAATCCGTCGCGAGCGATCTGTTATTCCAGCAATGTAATACTTCTCCTTTTATGCGCGACATCTTTTGTACGCCGACGTTCTATTCTTCCGCCTATATTAAATTCCTATTTTCCGGTAGTGACGGCAGTTCGCACTCGCCTCTTCTTTCGTACAGACTCTTCTTCCGTTCGACTGTGTGAACGGTTGCCGAGGACGATAAATTCGTTGCGACGCGAGCGCGAATCTTTGATGAGGTGTCGCGACAACCGCAAAGTATCGGGTACACAAACAATCGATTACGAGGCGATACGCTGACGCGGAGCCTTTGTTTCGCAGGTCGCCAGTGAAACAAACAAGTGTCAAGTTGCCGTCACCGTCGTCGTCGTCGTCGTCGTCGTCGCCGCCGCCGCTCTGTTGCGGTGGAGCCAGCTGCCTGTTCTCGCCTCGAGGCGAGAAGAGGATCGGACGGGATCAGCAGACATCGGGTAGACACCGATAAAAGGACGGTGTTATGTTAGTGACAAGGCCTCACCCTCTAGGAGGGCGCATACTACTCGCCCTCTTCCTCTTAACGGGGTGCTTCGCCTTGCTGACACGGGCGGCCGCCTTCCCGGACTGGACCGACTGTCCCGCGGTGTGCCGATGCAAGTGGACCTCCGGCAAGAAGTCCGCTCTGTGCCCGGACGCCGGCCTGACGTCGCTGCCGGCGTCCCTCGACCCGGACATGCAAGTGCTCGACCTGTCCGGCAACAAGATACCCGCTCTCCAGGCGGAGATATTCAAACTGGCCGGCCTGGTGAACCTGCAGCGGGTATTTCTGCGCAACGCCGGCATCCACAGTATCCACGCGGACTCCTTCAAAGACATGAGGATACTCATCGAGATCGATCTGTCGGACAATCACGTGAAGACCTTGGAGCCGGATACGTTCCTCGGGAACGAGCGCCTGCGCATTCTGATACTCAGCGGGAATCCGCTCGGTACTCTGCGTAACCTACAGTTTCCCGTGTTGCAGCATCTGCGGAATTTGGAGCTGCAGCGGTGCTCTTTAACCGAGGTACACGGACAGGCTTTTGCCCGGCTGACCGGTTTGGAATTCTTAAAGTTGGACATCAACGAGCTCGAGTATTTGGAGGCCTCGGTGATATCCGGATTGTCCCGGCTGAAAACCTTGACGCTGGACGGCAATCGATGGAGATGCGACTGCAGACTGCGGGATTTTCGCACCTGGCTTATCCCCGAAGCGCCCAGCAAGCTGTACTCCGCGCCACAAATCTGTACAGGTCCGCCGAAGCTGGAAGGCCGCAGATGGGAGGACGTGAAACCTACGGAATTCGCCTGCGAGCCAAAGGTGTTCGTTCTAGCGAGCAGCATACAGGAGGAGACCAATGGTAATCTCAGCCTGGCGTGTCGGGCGAGCGGCGATCCCGAGCCAGAGGTTTGGTGGCAATTGAACGGTGGGCCGGTCAATGCTACGAAATCGACTGATCAACCCTACATGGGGACCCTCGTTGTCTACACAATGTCCGAGGCGACCAACGACAAGTCGGCGTCGAAAACCGTCGCGGACCGATGGAGCAATCTGACTGTTTACAATGCCACCGAGAGCGACGCCGGCGAATACGCCTGTTTTGCGAAGAACATCGCCGGCCTCGCGCGAGACACGGTCAGCGTGACCATACCGCGCGTCTTCACGGCCCCGACTCTCTCCCAGAGCGACAACTGGCTGCTCTGGGTAAGTCTGGCCGGAGGCGGCGCGGTCGCCGCGTGCGCTTCCATCTCGGCCGTGTTGCTGGTCCTCTGTTTGTGCGGCGGGAGCCGACGGCAGCGCAAACGCGAGAAAGTGAAGCTGCAGGGCAGCGGCAGTTTCGGCGACCAGGAGAAGAAGCTGCTGGACCTGTCCGTGACCACGACGACACCCGGCAACAGCAACGACCGCGGCAGCGGCCACGGCAGCCTCGGCGAGGCGTGCAGCACCGGTGACCTCGAGCTGGCGGAGCGCGGCTCGATTTGCGACCCCATGGCCGCGGCCGCGGTCACCGTCGAGCGGCTGCGACCCGCGGACAGCACGGTGAACGCCATTCGCACGGTCCCTTGCGCCGCCGCAGCCGGTGTATTTCCGCCCCCGCCGCCGGAATTCACCACCGGCGTACTGCCGGCCGGGATCTTCGGCAACATCTTCATCTCCGTCTCACTGCCGCAGGACGCGTCGTCGGAGCGCTGCTACCCAGACCTCCTCGACATCCCCGTCCACGCGGTCAGCGGCGCCACGGCCGACAAGGCCGCGGCCTTGCCGCCGGCAGCGGCGATCAACGTTTCTAGCTTCGCCACGCTGCCACGCCGGGCCCTGCGCTCCGCCGAGGTCGCCGTCGGCTCGCCTTACGACAATATGGGGCCGCGCATCACGGCGAACGGCAGTTCCGCGTTCTCGCTGACGGACATGGACCTGCGGCTTTCGCCGCCGCCGCCGCCGCGGATCATTCAACCGCCGCACGAGTTCGTTTCCCTATAAAATAGCGATTCCCCTCCCCCACATGCCGATCCGTATTGTCGCGCGATACTGATTTCGTAATCGCTAATATTCCGCTAATGGCGTTATCCCAATATTCTGCGGAGCATCCATTATCGGCCGGGTATTATTGGATAACAACAATTAGCGCGCGGTAATATTCACCGCGTCAGGGATATATGGCTCATGGATCGACTCCTCGAGAACGCGCGCGATCGCTTCGGACGAGTGATCCGTATACGCTCCTCGGTGGAGTTTCAAAGACCTGTCGAATTACTCACGCGTCGCAACTTTGATAGTGACGTCGCATTGAAGAGTTTTTATCCCGGCGTTACGCGTCTTCCACCTGGGTCATCGTGGACATTGAAGACTTTTTGCAGCCTCAAAATATCGATCGCAACTCTAGACTGCCATTTATCAAATCAAAAATTTCTAAATATCATTTGTTTACGAAGATAAGTTACATAATCTTTTAGCGGTTAAAAGTTTTATCATTAAATGTCGAGCATTGCGTCGCCTTTTGTGCACCTAATCTCTATTTGTTATATAAAAGACGATATTAAAACTCAATCAACGATTTGAGGACTAATCAAATGCAGATAACTTGAATGTTTAAAAGACATCGTAAAAGTGTCTTTGATATTTTTTCATCACCTTCTGGACTTCCGTACTGCGTTTAAGAAAAATATAATGAGTATAGCGTATCTCTAAGTGAATTTTTCTCAAGTATTTCATTATACATTGACGAGAAGTATGTAAACAATTTCGAAATGGTCAACATACGTCGGTGTGCAATGGGTGTTTTCCATTCACATTTGTCTCGACTTTTTAGCGTTAATAATATAAATGGAACGAGTTATCGCGCGTGGAAATTAGAGCGTAAATTATATATGTATACAATTTTGACCAACTTAAAAATGCAGAAAATTTTACGATATAATTATACAATTAGTAAAAAATGCATAAAAGCAAATTGCTTTATAATTCCAATTGTACTTGAAATACAATTATACTTTTAATTTCTACTGGAATGTAAATACAACTTTTGTATTTGCATATTTTAATATTTATTTTGGATTTTGTAATTTAACAAACTTTAGGATTGCTTGACATTTAAATGGAAATGATCTGCTTCAGTAATGCGATTATTGGTAGCAGTAGTCGTGATGACGATTGCGATGACGATATTATTTTCAAATTAGTTGCTTTTTCCTCATTCTGCAGCCCTCTAGCGTCTTCTGCGTTGTGAAAGATCTTTTATTTTTATAGTCCTTTTTTCCCCCCCTTCGTCTTCACCAACAAAATCAGTTGCGGTCCGATTCGTGTCCTCGACGTGGATTAAATAGAAAGCAGAAATGACGATCCCTCTTGTTAATTTCAATTGCTGAATGGACAGCGCCCATTTTTGGTGGCCACTTCGCAGATCGCACGAGTAGGTAGTTATCGGCGGGTAGCCGGACACCCCTCGGGATCACGACGAGAATGTAGTCGTGATTAGACATCTCCCGCGGGTGCGGTATAAGTCGACGTGGTTCTTCCCGTGCAGCGCAAATGTGCGAAGAGAGCGAGAGAGAGAGAGAGAGAGCACCAGGGAGAGAAAATCGATATCTCACCGTGTCGCGGTCGGCGTGTCACCGAGATTAGTATACGGAGCGTTCGATCGAGAAGAGGGTGGCTGATATCGGGCCACGATTGTCCGACCTATCGAATATCTGTCTGTCTATGCTTGTCTGCCTGCCTTGCTCGCTTGTCCGGCCAGCTGCTCGCGGCCGCTTGCGCCCACAATGAATGCGCGTGAATGATGGACCGGGTGCGTGAGGAACCTCCTAGACCTAAGTCTCTTCTAGTCTGCTAACAATAACCCGAGGCGAGGGGAGCGACCGTTTGTATATACATATTTCACAACTACTCCTTCGAAGACGAGCGGACCTTCGAGTTAGCGCGTGCGAAACCGGCCGCGTCCCCCCCATTATCTTCCCTTCCATTCATTCTCCAAAGTGTATCACTAGTTTGTTACGTATTCTCTACGTGTGTACATATTTGTTATTACATCACGGCATTCGTGTACACCGCGCGCGACCCGGACGTTGTGAATCGCGCCCGCACGCCGGCGCGTCACCACACGGAAATATTCATTATGAACACTTTGTCAATTAATAAAATCATTGAATTTTACATACATCGAGTCACTGTTGTGTATTGTCTTATTACGTTCGTTGCACACTTGGTGCGAAAATGATGTATGGCATTATGTTCGCAGTCTAATTCGATTATAACACATTCATCGGCGTGTAAATTGCAATTTTTTTTTTCCAGAGGGGAAAATCAACGGAAGTATTGAAAATTGGAACAATGGCATTGTTTTTCTGTACCCAATTTATACGCTAACAATAAAACGAAACTACGAGGATTGTTCTTTTCCTGTAAGATTTTACCTGTAATATAATTGGCCACGGCTTTCTGTATCGTGTATTAAAAGTATTGTACCAAATTTCAATTTATTCATTAGCAATAGAATCTATTTGTAAATTGTTATATGTAAGCAAATAATTATGTGAAATCGAAACGCACTAATTTTAATTGAGTTTTTTTTCGAAGTATGCGCAAGAGAGATCACCAATTAGCTCGGCGTGAGATGTGAAATGAAACTTTTATTTCCACTCTTCATTATTTTTCATATAAAAAAAAACGAGCATTAAATCGAGTCGAGTATCTCGAAATAGAAATCTGGGTAAAATAGCATGCCGAGCCGCCACGCCGAGCCTCGGGCCGGCTCGCCAGAGAATTGCCATTTCGTGACGATGCAAGGCGAGAGGATCGCATGTAAGATTATAAACTGCAGTATTTAAGTGCAGATTATGTATTGTGTTGCATAACTTGCGTACAAAGTGCAAGGATAAGGTGGGTCGCCTATGCAAATAGGGAAAACGATCAAAAGCACTGCACGTTACGTTCCTGACGTTTTTGACAGTAAGTTCCTTCTTTGCCTCGAGTCAACATCCGTCAAATCCGCGAGGCGCGAATCGCGCTCAGAGATGGGGCGAGAAGTTACAAGAAACTCCCAGCGTCGTGCTCGCTCTCGCGACCTAGTCTTGGGGTGTACCCTCCTTGACCTTGACTATTTCGAGAACCTGAAAAGAGATCAATCACATTGCAGAGCGGGAAAAATCGCACGTGGACTGTCTTAAATTGCTCGCATTTAAGGATTAATGAAGCGGTGACGCTCGCACGACGCGTTTCTTTCTTCATGGAAAAGCAATTCGCGTAATGTCAAAGAATGAATATGACGTCGCGTATGACAGTCGATATCTGTTCAACATACACGCCGTGTCCCGAGTATATTCCGAGAGAATATTTAATTTAGCAAAAATAATATAATCAATACCTTCTGTAACATTTAAAGATGTCGGTGTTCATTATTGCGAGCTTGCCGTTAGGGCTTTATTGAACAATGCATTCTCAGCGTATCGGGGTTGAGATCAAATTTAAATATTTTCGATATTTCAATTTTTACGAAACAAAGGGGCGATTGATTATTTCATCAACTTCTACTCGCAAATTACGTCAATAAATCGTGCGATCTAACTTTATCAATGGGTTAATTAGCATTTTCGTAACAGAAAGGTGAATAACGATAGAGTCGTTTTATTCGTACCTCGCAAAATAGAGTAGTACGATCGGGGCTCGTTGACTTTTTGTGCCAGGCGCAGATCCTTGTATCCGTGCACGTGATCGGGTATTAACCAGGAGCCGTCTTTCTGAATTTTATCAGCATGTTTGAATGCTATCGGTCTGTCTGCGTAGTCTGCATAAAGGAGTTAACAAATGAATTCTCACGTGACAAAAGTGTGTATGATGCCTATATATGTTTCATTGCGTGCACTTTAAAAGCGATAAACGAGATCCTGAGGCGGGATCGTCCGCAGGACGTCGTCCAAATCAACTCATTAAAAACTGCAAGAGCATGCCACATAATGCTGCGTTACATTTCGTACAAATGGATACATTCGCGCTCCGTATTTTTCCATAAATTTTATTCAATCCGGTAAAAGCCGCTTTAATTAATAACGGCATCGCGGATATTGATCTGACATGAAATGTGTTAAACGTTTATTGTACGGTAACATCCTGGTATCCGACGTTTACGTACATAAATGTTTCGCAGCAATTGTGTGTCGAGCTTCTAGTTTACTTATTAAAAAAAGGAATTTGCTGTTAATAATGTTATTAAAATTTTTCTTCGAAATTCTAACAATTCTTTTGTTTAGAAAATTACTTCTCTCCAGAGATCTTGAGAATTCTTAAAGATTTAATACTTTTCAATATTAACTTTTCAATATCTTTGTTAGGTTTTCTCGCACCTTCGTAATCGAGATCTAAGAGAACGTCGGGCTCCATGTCACGTGCAATGTAGAACTCGATGTCGGCATCGGCCGGTAAATCGTGAAATCGATTCAAATTGCCCAAGCTCGGTTCATCGGATCGTCCGATTCGGGGCTTATGTATTATTCCGAAAGCACGCTCCGCTCTAGGAAAGCTCGCTATTTCCGAATTTCGGCCGATTCTTGGATACGCCACCAATCCAGCAGAGCGTCTATCGTTGATTTTCAGTTTTTGGCCCTCTGAAAAGTGAAGCGAGACTGACCGATTAGAACATCAATCGCTCGAAATTATTGTGTCGCTTCCTCTTCGAAAATTACAAAACATTGTTTACTCCTTCCTTCGCTAACAGTCACGAGTCTAATGCATCTAATCACTTTTTCCTTGCGCAAACAATATGATAACGTGTAAAAATATGAAAAAGAAGATACTAGAAGTTATTTTACCGAATAAATTAGTTTCACAATTGATACAATTGAAGCGGAATATTTTGTGCGCGTGCTATTATATATACACACAGAAAAATATTATTGTACAGTCAAGAAAAGTAATTACTCAGTTTATTTTATTCCGTTTAAGTAATAGCTTGCTTCAACAAAGAATATTTTCTTAATAATAGTTTTAAGATATACTTGTTACTAGTCTTAGAAAAGCTTGCCATCTTATACTCAAAGAAAGAATTTATTCTTCTTTGAAGAAAATTATAAAACTTATTGAAGAATTCCGTATTCTTTTAATAAAATCAGAAGAAACACAATTGTTTTGCTTCAAATAATTCTATGTATTCTTGTTTGAAATACTAGACTTAGGTACTAAGAACCAGAATATGTTTTGAGGAAATATAACACTTGCGACGACATTATGATAGATTTGCGGATATATAAACTTATCAAATACTTGGAACAAATAATATTTACTTGCAGGTAGTATATATTTTTCTGTGTGTACGTGCCGAGTAAAGCATTCAAAAATAATAATTTATATAAGGGATTAGACAGCATTACAAATGTGGACTAGACATTATCGGAAGTGTAAACGACAATATTGAAAAAAATAAATATTCACGTTCTTTATCAGAAGTTTAAATAAAAATTTATATATTAATTAATTTCAATCAGGATGTAATTGCTAAGCATCGTAATTTCAAAGAAATTAAATGTCACAATCAGCAACAACGTTCAAGCGTCACGAGAATTTAAAAGACATTTCAAAGGTGTGTGAAGAAAATGTGACAGAGTGGAACATCATTTTGATTGTGACGATGGTTTGAATGTTCGTGTGTACGTTTGATACTTATGTGTAAAATAAAAAAAAACTAGTCATACAGACTTATATTGCGAAAGTGCCACACACATACAAAAAGTATAAAAGTACGCGACACTCATGCGAGTTTCTTGCCTCTGGTGGATTCGTAGTGCTGGCCGACCGAGCATCTGGCAACTGCAAAATAAATGGAACGTCGTCGACGTTTTTCCATCAAAAGTCGGACATCATAATCCCTAACAATTTAATCTACACTCGCACTCGTGGCGCTTAACGATTTCCTGCGGGAATTCAGTATATACTTTTTTCCCGTGCTATGGTTTTTTGCACTTTAATTCCCCGCCCTACTTCATTTTTACTTCGCGCTGGGAACTGCCGCATCCAAGTTGCTGTTTGGCCTCAATGAGAATGAATTATCTAACGCATTATTCGCGAGAGAATAAAAACTATGACTTTTAATATTAAATCAGAAGTTCACTGCTGTCGGCTTATTTTGTTTTCCTTTTCATTTATAATTTCTATGATGTCGATCATCCTTAATGACAATTTCAGACCGAGTTAACTGTTTTTACAATTTTATATATTTGTCTATTTTGAATTAAGGCTGAAATTAAAATCCAAGTTTAATATCCAGACCAGGTGAATCGATTTTGCGGTTAATTTAAGCCGCTCTTAATTTATCAAGACACGCTTTAACTTTTCATTATAGGACTTACAAAAATAATCAGGTAACATGTAAGAAATTATATAGCAAAATGATTCACTATCTTTAGTGATAACAAATTAAGTTTGAAAATTTTGATATAAAAAGTGCAATACTTCTCCAGATGTTTCTCATCAAAATGTGCGACTTAATGGGATCAAACGTTAATGACTGAAGGATAAAAGGGAAAACGTACATATTTTTGAAGTCAGTTGTAAAACTCGCGATATCGACTTACGATTTAGAGATGTAGAAAACGCCAGAAGGATCACGAAAATAAAAAACCGGTTGTCCTGCATTTCTGTGACTCCCGGTGATCGAAATTCTGTGTAGCGACGACGTGAAGCTTAGAATCGCACCGACACTGAATGCCTCCTGTCACCCGACGTCCGATTTTATACCTTGCGCCTCCACTGGGTTGCGCCTCTCCACCCCACAGTTCAAACCCCTTGTCGCAGAGCGTCCGCGTGTCCTCGTGTCTCACCCCTACTCCTCGCGAAACTAACGTATTTTTCGCGGAAACATCTCGAATATTATATATGTATAATATATGCGTTTATGTGTGCATATATAATATATATCGCTTTTGAAAAAAAATCTGAGCTTTTGCGTTTTTATAATTTATCAACTCGAAAATGTGCGTACTTTTCAGCCAAGAACCATAAGTGTAGTTATAAAAGTTTCGAAAGGGCTAGTTGTTTTTTTTTAAATATTAGATCAGAAGTTCCCTGCTGCCGGCTTATCTTTTTTCCTTTTTATTTATAATTTCTATGATGTCGATCATCCTTAATGATAATTTCAGACCGAGTTAACTATCTTTACAATTTTATATATTTGTCTATTTTTCGAATTAAGGCTGAAATTAAAATCCTAGTATAATAATTTATTAGTCATGTTTTGCCAGTCATGTTTTGCCAGTGCTCAAGATAAGTTCACGTAATATTTTAGGATTATAATGACCATCCTCACAACACCACTAAATACACGTGATCCTATGCACGATTAATACAGTTACACTTGCTTGAAAAGGACCAAAACCCATGGTCGAAACGTAGCGATACGAAAGTATTAAAAATTGCCAGATATGGTCAACCAAATTATTTGTTTATAATAATTTATATTAATACATCAAAGATATATAAAGATACAGATACATTGTCACGATTTGACGAGGACATTTGTTATGTCCGTTTTCGGTCAGCACATTTAAGTGCTTTACCGGAGACCGGACTAGATTGTGTGAAAAATATTAAGGACGAAAATACTAGAGATAATAGATTTTATTCTTGCCCGGAAAGACGACCCGATTTGTAAATTCGCGGCGATAATCTGACTTCGAAAATGTTCACGTAAATTTGATAGGAGAACATTTATGATGATTATTCTTTCTTTAAGAGAGACGGACCACGAAGGAAATCGTATTAATATACGGAAGATTTGGTACAATGTTTTACCTTTTTATTCGCGTCCTTTCAAGGTACAAGATAAGCCAACGACACACGCTGCTATTTTTCATACTGGATTGCTTACGAGAGCTAATTGGGATGCAGAATTTTTGATTAGGTGACTTAGGGCCAGTTTCACAAACGTCAGTTAACTGCTAACCGAAGGTTAACTGATCCTCTGTCTCTTCTTAGAGAACAAGATAGAAAAAGATAGAGCGTTGACTGAACTCTGGTTAACAGTTAACCAACGTTTGTGAAACTGGCCCTTAAAGCTAAATCCTGAGTGGTTTTCGTAAAAAATTCAGTAGGGGAAAATAGTATCGTGTGCCGTTGGCTTTAGTCGTGAAATTCTAAGAGTTTGACCCGAAAATACTGTCGTCTGAATGTCGAAACCAAAACTCCGTGTTCTGAATATGGGTAAAAGAGTAACTGTGAGTACTTAACTGACAATGAGTGTGGAAATAGCACGTAAAAGAGCTTTTCGCACCTATTTATACCCCGAAAAATGATGAGAGCTTCCCCTGCTGGAGTTTCCCACCATTTGAGACTCATCTTAGTAAAAGGGAGAAGGTTTTTCCAGAAGTTTGTGATATCTGGGCCCGGAGCTAGGTGTGTCCTTTAGCCACGTTGTCCTGTTGGAATTTTATCTGTAGCTAAACAGAGTGTTCTATGCGAGCGTTCGAAAGAAAATTCGAGCAAATTGTAAGATTTTTATCCGTCCGTGACAATATAATATATTCAGATACTATCTGTATCTGTATCTTTCTCCGGAAAAATAATGAGTGCATCTTGTAATAGAGAATTAAAGGAATTAAAAAAATGCAACTGTATCACTGAATAAATCGAACGTTAGCTTGTATCAGATGTAATTTTGATGAAAAAAAATCAAGATACCAAGCTTTGAAAAGGGTTAGTGCGAAGATTGTATTTCGTTTAAAAATAATGATGGTAAAGAGAAGGGACATTTAAACGAAAAATACGATTCTCATATTATGGAGAAAGATTTATCAAGACACGAAAGGGAGATGGATAAAAACAGCTTGGCATACTATGTGATTGCAGCTGCATTCAATCTGCAAGTTTAGCATCGTGCTCTTGTAAAATTGCCATTTTCAATTTGTGTCACTTTTCGTGTGCAGAAGAGGTGTGTTACATTATATATAAAATGTAATCGCTATCGAAATTCGTTTTTTTTCACGATAGTTTTTTGCACGCTATTAAATCTTCTTCAAGTCGAAAATTGTTATCTCAATCTCAATCTAGGAAACCAAAACGAGAGTAATCAAACCTATTTTATTTGATAGCAGAATTTCAACAAAACGTACGTAATTATTTCATTCTATTAACATATAATGCATGTAATAACAAAATTAACATTATCATTAGACACATATTAATTACTGGCTTTTTCTTCTGGCCTCAGTTGAATGGATCTCCTGGTATTTCGTCCAATATCGTTCTATATAATTTGAACTTTCTGTTAAAATATTATAGTTTCTTCGTGCGAAACGTAGATTATCCCTTTCCTGAGTGGTTTTTAAACGCCTATATCTTAAGACGCACACAAATTGGAATATTGGCGACCATTTCCGAAAGTGAACGTTTGACAATACCACGACATACAAGTTATACGAAGAGATATAAAGAACGCATTTTATTACAAGAATACTTTCGTGTGGGAGAACGGGCTGTTTGCATTTTTTTTTTCGTTACAACCAGTAAAGTCTACCTTAGTTTTATCATATATAGTATAGTATTTGCGACGTTTTTAATACTCGAAAAACTTCGTAAGTGCCATGTCCATGTACATACGTAGCAACCGGTACTTTACACAAAGTAGTATGAAAACATACATTATTAATTTTCACGACGCGGTTTATTTTGATGTGACAGCACGCGACCCTTAGGGTCGGTGGGTCCTATTTATCAAAAAAGAAAAGTTGTATTGATCCTCGGACACTTTTGAATGTTCCAGTTAGAAACGCCGCGTGTGCCGAGTGCGTCAATTACCTAGAATTACAGTAATTCGGTCGGTGCCGACGTAGGTGTAAAAGGAGGCCGCATTACGATGATGCGGGATAATATATAGATTTATAAACGCGTGATGAGATTATCGCGCGACAGATTATGACGCATTATCGTGCGTGACATTTTCTCGACACGTTTTCCCCGATCTTCCATTGTGGATTACCGCCCTAAACGCGTGCGAACGCTCTCGCGATGTTTTTTTCGTGCTATTCCTGCACATCGTTTACGTCCGGTCACGTTACATCCGAGTCGATAGAGGCGCGGAACGTGATTCCTTAAAAAATGAATGGAAAAGGTGTCAACAGCCAATTCGCCTCTTCGGAGATTCGGGAATTCGTAACTTTAGATAAAACATAAATAATGTAATTTGCGAACGTGTTACTTCCTCAGAACTGACACGTGCGTGAGTATACATGGATTAAATTACCACTGACAGTAATATATATTAAAACTCGAGATAAATTCTGTAGAATCGAAAAGGGAAGGCTAATAAGAGTGGGACACGGTGCTTAAATGTGGAAAATAATGTTCCTTTTATTCAAGCGTTTCGACCCATATTCTTGTCTTCTTCAGTGATCCGAGACAAGAAATAAAATTAAAAAATTGCAATAAAAACTAATTTAAAGGAATAAAGGACTAAGAGCCGTGACAGGGCGTTAGTGTCTAAATATTTCGTATTTTTATTGCGAAAACTATTACCTCAGCCAGGGTTTGAACCTGGATTTTCTGAACTTGGACTGCCTGTAATAGGCAATTTACATTTGTGTTTATCACATTTTGAGTCATACAAATTTTAATTACAATAAAAGTGTGTTAAAAAAGCGTTTATAAAGTAGAGTACGAATTGGTCAAATTGTGAGATAAAAGTAGAATAGCTGATGAAAAGAATATTGTGGCGAGCGTGAAACGAAAATTATCGTGGAATTAGTGTAATCACGATAAAATTAGTTTCTCCCTCGAGATTGAACACTCGTGAGTCTCCATATGGTTCCACCTTCGTGCACAAAGATTCCGGCCTCGCAGTTTAATTTATCCGCGACGGACACGACGTACTGCTAGTGATTTCATTTGTATGCGCATAGCGGCTCATTTAAATATAAAGGAGCGTCGATGAGGATCGTACCTAACGTTTAGCGCCAGCTTACCATTTAATTAATTGTACACGTGTATCCACGTACACACGGACGTACGGATATGAATACGAGCGCAGATGTGGTGACATGCGACATGTGTTCAATGCATTCATCTCGAGCGAGGTGAGTGGTGCGGATTGAGCTTCTCAAAGATTCCTACTGGTGCACATGGGATTCCGCATTTCAGCAGTTAACTTTTTACATCGCTACGAAGGAAAAGGGGAAAAGTAAAGCGAAAAGATAGCGAAGAACAAAATTGGCCTACGGTGCCGATGATTCAGCCAACGTTTGCGAGAAACAAGTAAAGTTCTTTATTATAAGATGGGTTTCTAATATGAGATAGCAAGTTTTTCAACGCCCTAATTCAGTCACAAATCCTTTTCCGCAACGATTACACGATTCAACAATGAATTTTCTACCAAACAGATTTCGCTCCAAGGGCAACAAATATCGTGGAATCAATAGATGAGGCCTATTAATTGAACAGAAATCCCGCTGTCTCGTATTAGGAGCCTGTCTCGTAATAGGGGACTTTCCCCTATCTATTCGAGCTTGACAATAAAACGTTATTTTCACCTAATACCGTATTTTGTGACGCATCAACACAGGATGTTAATTATAATATCGTATTTTAAGTGGGTTGATGAAGAATAGCTTCTTGACTCGGCAGTAATGGATTGTTCGCCAGAGATATTAATTTCTGGCCTAGTATGTTAATTAATAAAGGTGGTTAGCAACTTCTATAAATAACAATAGGAAAACGTAAGTGTCTCGCAACATTAACTTGTAACCCAAAATAGATTTGCTTGGTAATCTATGAGTAAATCTACGAATATTTGAATATTCGTAAAGAACCATTTAACGCCAGTACATGATTAACCAATGTAGAAAATTGCTAGACGACGCTTGGCCGACAAATCCTAATTAAATGAATTCATTGCGAAAAGTGCGGAGGGGAGGGTAGGGAACGGAGATACTTAAAATCGCGTTTTGTTAGTTCTGTGCACAAGCCGACAACCCGAATCGGGCGCGCAGTTCTAGCAGAAAAATAAAGGCGAAGATGTCATCAGTACTGTTTATTGCAATAAATATTACCATGCCTTACTACTAGCATCTCCATTCCCTTTTCGTTTCTCTCTCCAATTCTCCTTATCTCCTTTATCTCCGCCTTCGTTTCTATTATTTAAAAAATCTCTACCGCCTCCTTCCTTCTCCCTTCCCTCACATCTACTCCTCTCATTATCACATTCCTTTTCTTTATTCTCTAGTCTTTTTTCTATTCTAATCATTTTATCTATAATCCTACTTTCGCCCTCTCTGTTCTAATTTTTCTATCCTCTCACTCATCCTTTCCATTTTCTTTGCCATTTCTTCCCTCTCCTCCCTCCATTCCCTCTATACTCCTCTAAACTCATTTCCTAACTCCTCTATCGTCCCTTTTATCATTCGCTCTTGTTCTATCACGAAGTTCTCCCTCATCTTGTAGGGAGGTTCAAACCCTGACTGAGGTAATATTTTTCGCAATGAATTTCTTTAATTAGAATTTGCCAGCCAAGCGTCGTCTAACAATTTTCTACATTGATTTGAATATTCCTTTTGAAAAGGTATAAAACACAGTGTAGGCAATGATGAAATAGAATATTACATTTATGAGAAACAAAACAATTTATAAACGTTCATTAATTAATAAGCCCCTTTAAGATGCACTAATAATTTGAATATGGCGTTAGGAGTATATGACGATATTGTGCGAATCGTTATTGTGTTCTTTTAAAGATGGAAAGAAACAAACACGTATATAGAATTGTTTTTCAAAATGATATAAATATCGATATGTTTAATGTCTGACGTTTCAATCTATAGTTTTCGGATGAAAAACAATGTTTTAATTTTTATTTCTGAAATTTATTCATATTCCTAGAACTTGTAAAATAATGCTCAATTTCAACGAGGCAAACACATTTTCATAGAAAGAAAATGGCGTTTAACATCATATATTATACATATTTAAATCATTATGTATATTTTTTACAAAACATAAATTAACATTTCAGTCTTTCGGTAAAAGTACTTCAACTCTCGCGATCATAGATCCAACGCTTCCTCCGTCAATCGTCGTCTATCTTGTTTAGAATATGCGTGACGCCGTACCGATACATGGCGGTATTAATTTTCTTCAATCTCAAAATCTCTTTCTGCAGATCCTCCAACTTGCTCGACATCTCGTCCGATCCCAGAGAATTGCCGCTACTCTCTGTGTAGGCTTCGAAGTTGAGGATCTCCGCCGGGTTTCGTCCTCTGGCGACGACCTCGACGACGCTCTCGCGGCCGCCGTCGTCCGACGTCCTCTGCAGATTGTGCACCTGCAGGCGCGGCTTGAGGACGGGGGCGCGAAAGTTGTCGAAGCCCCTGGCGAAGAAGGCGGCGGTGACTGGCCCCTTATGCTCGAGCGTCTTGAGCACCTGCCGACTGGCGACGTCCCAGACGTGGACCGCGCCGTCGGTGGACCCGGACAGCAGAGTGCGGCAGTCGACGGATACTGACAGGGCGGTCACGTTTGATTTGTGCGCTCGGAACGCAGCGCTCTCTTCGTCCACCTTGCCCGAGCCCACGGTCACGTGGTGCTCGACGCCGCGCGGCGGCTCGTGCAGGTCGCACTGGAATATCTCGCCGGTCGTGCAGCCCACGAAGAGCTCGCTCTCGCGGACGTTGACGGCGACCGCGGTGAGTGGCGCGTCAAATACCAACGAGACCAGAAGAGCCCCGCTGCCGAGCTCGTAGATGCTCGCGGTGCGGTCCAGCGAGACCGTGTACAGTCTCGCTCGGGCGTCGCCGTGGCCGAAACACAGATCCTTGACCGGCAAACTGTGGTTGGAGAAGGCGTGAACGGGGGAACAGCGTGCGTCGTTGATCGCGCCGTAGAGCGACCACACGAACACCAGGCCGTCCTCGCCGGCGCTGGCGAACAACGAGCCGTCCCTCGTGGTGGCCAGACAGCCGACGGTCTGATAGTGCCTGGTCAGATTGGCCAGTAGCCTGCCGTTGCACGTCTGCCAGACGAACAGTTTCTCGCCCACGGAGGCGATTATGTAGGAGCCGTTGGGCGTGCAGGCCAGGGCGCTGACCTTGCCCGGCGTGGTCAGTCGGATGTTGGGCAGCGGCGACGGGTTGTTCAGCGCCCAAACATGTACGCGGGGCCGCGTCGCGTCCGCGCCCAGCACGTAGCTGTCGCTCAGGAGCTGCAGGCTGCGATGCCCGAGCGCCGTCGCGTTCTTGTACATGGACAGCAGAGCACCGTTCCGGGGATCCCACACGGCGGCGCTCCAGCTCTCCCCGCTGCTGTCGCTCGTCAGGATCACCTCCCTCGCGTCGGTCAACCGCTGCATCCTGGAGTCTTGCACTTCCTGTAACACCGCGCCACTGTAATGTGTTAATTATTGACTCCGGCCGACCGACTTTATCATTTCTTCTTCCTCTACGAACGTGTTAATGACTGCTGGGAAACATCGCTCCTACGACCGGCTTCCAATCGGCTCTTCTAACCTGCGTCTACAAACACGTGGTACTCTGCGTAGGTTAGGTGTCGTCCAACCATGGAGAATAACATAGACCAGATATCCAGATGGCACTGCTGTCTGAATAACAAGCGACCACCGGTACGTCGTGTCTGTCGGTCACAATGTTGGGAGCACGATTTTAGACTTTTTACAAAAATTTTCAGATTTCTTATACAAATCGGAACACTTTTCAGAAATAAGTACCGAGATAGTTTGTATCTTTTCTAGAATTTTTCATGTGTATGAATTCTGAACTTTCTCATTCTATAATTTCAAACATTTACGTCTCAGAATATTTACATATATGTATGAAAACTTGTAAGAAAAGGAGCGGACTGTTTCAGTATATCTCTGAAAAGTGTACCGATTCCCCTTCCGGAAATAATTCTACAAAAAAAAGATACTGTCAGAATCCAAGAAATTCTACGTACATTTAAAAAGTGTTATAAAAAAATCAACATGAAAATGCTAGAATTGGAACACTTTTGTTAATTTTTGTGATATTCTACGAGTAGGCAGATGTTTTAATTCTTTAAGACTTTATTTCTCAAATGTTTAAAACCAGTAAAGATACGTTAAACAATATTTATTTTGAAAAACAATTCAACATGCGTGTTTTGTCTCTCCATCTTTTTTAAAAACACAATATCGGTTCTCACAATGTCGTTATATGTTCCTAACGCCTTATCATAATTACTAGTTTTACAACTTGTACATTTTCATGAACCTGCTAAAATTGGAATACTTTTGTTAAGTTTTGTAACATTCTGCAAGTAAGCAGATGTTTTAATTTTTTAAGACTTTATTTCTTAAATGTTTAAAACCAGTAAAGATACGTTAAACAATATTTATTTTGAAAAACAATTCAACATGCGTGTTTCGTTTCTCTCCATCTTTTTTAAAAAAGCAATATCGGTTCTCACAATGCCTGCGTTCGTTTTCTCCCACCGGGAGCATAAACTATACTGAAAGTCTATAATTTACGTAACGTAAACTATAGAGTTTCAGTACAGTTTATGCTCCCGGTGGGAGAAAACGAACGCAAACCGCATCGTCATATGTTCCTAACGCCTTATCATAATTACTAGTTTTACAAAATTGTACTTTTTCATGAACCTGCTAAAATTGGAATACTTTTTGTTAAGTTTTGTAACATTCTGCAAGTAAGCAGATGTTTTATTTTAATTCTTTGACATTTTCTTGTCTCTCAAATGTGTAAAACTAGTAAAGCTTTGTACTAACTTTTACAAAATTGTACATTTTCATGAAACACTACTTGCAATAATTTCTTGATTTATGAACATAGTAATTTGTGATACCAGAGAGAAATCTTGAGAGCGGCCATGCCGGCGTTTTGCTTGTTACCGTTTTCGCTCGACTGATTCCAGCGCTTTACGCCCATTTTCATTTTTGGAACTATTCCGCTACACCCATTTTCAAATACTGCCGATAAAGTTCTCCACTTGGTGCGTGTCCGTGCTATTTTTCAAGCGGGTAATGCAGTGCCCAATTTTGGTTGTATTCCGTGCTGCATGCATGAAATATCGGTAACAGGAGAGTGCCATTGATTTTTCGTAACGGAAGCGAGCGAGATAAGACCAAACGAGATGGCAATAAGAGCGAGCAAGACAGTAATAGGAGCGAGCGAGACGAGAAAGCATGCGAGCCGCAAGGAAGACTCAATCAGATTCTCGAGCCTTCTTCGCTTGCTGTTGTTCTCATCTCACTCACTCTTATTGTTGTCCCGTTCGCTCTTATAACGACTGTGTTTTAAGATTCTCGATGCGATACCGTGATTTTTAACATGGTCTTCAATAATTTTAGATCATTGCTTCCTCATAGAGGAAGCTTTGTTTTCGTGAAAAAAATTTTTTTCCAGTTTTCTTTGAAAACATGTTTAGAATGTTCTAAAACGTTCAAAAATCACATTCAGAAAAAATGTCTATGTATGTATGTATGTGTGTATGTATGTATGCCTGTATGTATCCTTATAAGGTAACTCTAAATAACTTTTTAAATATGTAAGATGGAAAAAATGTTAAACATGAAAGTTGTACGGTTTTAAGTAATGCATTACATAATAATATAAATATGACCTTGAACAGCTTCCTCAAGATCACGTAAAGATCACCTTGAAATTTTTAAATGGAAACCCGTTTTTTAAATGCATATTCTTATAGCTTACCTTAAGAGCTTACCAAAACACTATAATAAAGTATATTTTCGTTAGGTACTTTCGGAGTTATGTGCTTTTGAATTGTTTTTGAGAAATGTCTGCGGTTGCTGTAACTATCGCAAATTATTTTTAATAATGATTTCCAAAAATTTCAAATGTCTATACTCAAGAACTAATTAATCATATTTTAGTGAATCATATATGAAATTTTGATAGAAAAAACTGAAGAACAATATAA